TGTTTCCACGTTCCGACTCTCGAAAGCCTCACTGTAAACACAGGGATTGGAAGAAATGAATTGATTGTTAATATTGACAAAATTGTAGGGGGCAATATTGATTGTCAAGACCTATACAACATCCACTGGAATTGTTTAGCATTTTTCTAGAAGGAAGGTAAATTACACTCTTCTGAACCGCCATTGACCTCGTCAGTGGGGTTACACAGTCTTGGATGTGAAACCAATGTCCATTTAATATTTATGCCACTGGGGACAGAACGTTGCCAGCATTTTTGGTTCGTCTATTGTTTACTTGGATGTACGTAAAACAGACAGGTAGTCACGCGATATACATACGTGGAACGTCATTAAATGCTGCCGCAGTTCATCATCGTTTTAGTCGACGCTTTAGTGCAAATGATACACTTGTTAACACGGTATGTTAGTTGGGGTAGACACAGCATAGTACGACGGTGATCGTCTCTTAGACCGCCGGTCGTTCAACATCGTCATCTATAGACATGAATGTAGATTACTTGTTGACGTCAAGGAGCCCAGCGGGGTTCAATATCAAATATTCATTTCTCTGTAACTAAGCATCCATTCGTTTTATATCTTGGTCTCAGGAACACAAAACAAACCTCTATCACAACTGAGCAATTAAACCACCCGCAAATCACACACCCCAGCTGCTGTATTCTTGTCTCGCCTACTGTTCTCCACTCGGATTGGCCTCTTATATCTAGCGACGCGGTGTTATTCCAGCCGCTTTGCTAACATGTGTACAGCGTTTTGTTGTCGCTCCCATACTGTCATCCAATCCAGTCTGGCATCGGCGAAAAAGGCTCGCTCAAATTTGACAATGATTTTGTTTCCACGTTCCGACTCTCGGAAGCCTCACTGTAAACTCAGGGATTGGAAGGAATGAATTGATTGTTAATATTGACAAAATTGTAGGGGGGCAATATTGATTGTCAAGACCTATACAACATCCACTGTGAATTGTTTAGCATTTTTCTAAGGAAGGTAGATTACACTCTTCGGAACCGCCATTGATCTCGTCAGTGGGGTTTTACAGTCTTGGATGTGAAACCAATGTCCATTTAATATTTATGCCGCCGGGGACAGAACGTTGCCAGCATTTTTGGTTCGTCTATTGTTTACTTGGATGTACGTAAAACAGACAGGTAGTCACGCGATATACATACGTGGAACGTCATTAAATTCTGCCGCAGCTCATCATCGTTTTAGTCGACGCTTTAGTGCAAATGATACACTTGTTAACATGGTATGTTAGTTGGGGTAGACACAGCATAGTACGACGGTGATCGTCTCTTATACCGCCGGTCGTTCAACATCATCATCTATAGACATGAATGTAGATTACTTGTTGACGTCAAGGAGCCCAGCGGGATTCAATATCAAATATTCATTTCTCTGTAACTAAGCATCCATTCGTTTTATATCTTGGTCTCAGGAGCACAAAACAAACCTCTATCACAACTGAGCAATTAAACCACCCGCAATCACACACCCCAGCTGCTGTATTCTTGTCTCGCCTACTGTTCTCCACTCGGATTGTGCCTCTTATATCTAGCGACGCGGTGTTATTTCCAGCCGCTTTGCTAACATGTGTACAGCGTTTTGTGTGGCTCCCATACTGTCAACCAATCCAGCCTGGCATCGGCGAAATATGGCTCGCTCAACTTT